AAGTAGATATGCTTTTCTTTAATTCTTATTTCTCATTTCCATTATCAATGCTACTTTGTGATGCTCTTGTAATTGACATCAAAGTTCTCATGTTTTAACAAATGAACAGCAGGGAATTCAAGATGAAAACAGAGAGAGTCAACCATGACAACCAGTAGCTAACCATGGAGATCAATGGTATAGTATTGGAGACCCAGTGGCGGCAAACCTGGTTTGCTCAATAAGTTTTTTGTCTTGAAATGGTGATGAAGAGATTTGAACCCACTTTCCAACATAGGTCGCATCTCTCCTGATAATTCAGCCAACACCAGCAGTGTCATTTTTGCTAGCAGCCCAGGGATGACATGGCAAGTCGCCGAAGTGAAGAAATTTCATCGAGGATCAATCAATGCAAAGTGGAAGATGCATAAATATTTAAGGCGATCAAGTGCCATATTCTGTCAAATTAGTTGCTAACCAACAGACGTGAAATGTGGAAGGCCAAGTTAAACTTGCTAATGCTGTCTTGAATTTTGATTGCAATAATGGATGCATTTGCTATTGAGTACAAAAGAGCGTTGTGAGATAGGGTGTATTGGGAAGCTCCTATCGAAGCTAGGGACGAGATTTTAGCAATTGTATCCATTTCTTTACGTAGTAGAATTTCTACTTGGCTCTTCCAGCAAAATTTTGTGTTTGTTCTTTTATCGTTCTTTCATCATCTCTTATTGTATAAAAATAGGTAGAGAACGTGAAAATTGCACCAAATTGGAATTAATGCATTTACTTCACCAGCAAAAATTATCTTCAATGAGTAAGGATTGTGATATTCCAGGAGCAAGTACAAAATAGCTGGTTATTTTTCTTAAGTAGACGTAGGAGCTGAAGAAAAACAAGGGCCAAGTTCAGCACTTTGGCTGCAGTGGCAATAATCACAAGAATTGGAATTACTCATAATCTCGGTATATTCAGGCAGGCACTAGCTTAATGCATGTTAGAAATGCTTAAAGGGTACATGCGTCGTAAATGAACAAAATATATCAGCAATCAAAATTAGACAAGGTTAGTAACTAAAATCAAGTTTTTTTCTGCCTCTTTATTCTGTCAAGGGCTCCTAGACGACTCTCACTTTCCCTATCTTTGGCTGGTACAGTATCATCATCCGCATCTCTGTCACCATCGTCTCTCTTCCTGACAAGACCTCCAAATACAGCAGTAGGAACATCTTTCTGGGCAATTTCAACTCTTTCTTCATCTTCAGAATCACTTTCTTCTGGCAGATCAATGTCTTCGGTGGCAACTGGTTTGATCCCTCCATCAGTCTGGGACTCCACCCCAGCACTCACAAACCCCACTTTTCTGCTGCTGTCTTTAGAATTGACATTTTTGGATGCAGGGGCCAATTGCCTCTCAAGAGCAGCCATCTCATCTTCCAGGACACCTGCCTGCTTCAATTTATCCTTTGCATCATCAAGGGTCAATGACTGATCCTTCTGCATCATGTACTCTGGCAGAATGAAGTGTGTCTGAAAAATCAACAAAAAAGAGAACTAGAATAAAAGATGAAAAGCAAATCTCAACTAGAATTCTCAAGATTAGGCAAGAATAAAATGATAAACCCAGATAACGTATCTTAAAACTAAATGGGAAGCTTTTGTATTTATACCATGAACAGTATCTAAAAACTAAACGGGGATCCGAAAGATTCTTTATGAATAAAAGGAAAGACCCATATAATGTATCAAAAACCTAAATGGAACGTTTTTCTCATAAAGGCTTACCTGGCTATAACTTGCAGAAACACTTCTTTTGATTCGCAGCATTTCTCTGAAGGTATCTTCATTTCCATGCTGAACCTCAAACTCATGCCACTTATTCCAAAAATCACCATCAGTGCGTGGATCTGCAAATTGAGATGCAAACACATATATTCCCCTAGCTCGGTCAATTTCTCCCAAGCTCTTTTCTAGCTCTGCATATTTCAAACACATTGTCTTCACATCTTTATCTGGAAGACCAGACTCTATGGCCTGCTCATAGATTTCTCTTGTTTTAGGGACACCAAATATCTCAGCAGCACGAGCAATGTATATCTCATACATGCTTAGTTTTTCTTCATTTTGTACTGCCTTGGTTGCCTCATCATAGAC